ATGTGTTAGTATGTGCTTTACAAGCTTCCCTTCCTTATCCGGTTATAATAGGCACTGCCATGTCAGAAAGGGATTAGACCGGATCACATCACACATACCTATGTCACCACCAGAGCCGGTCCTGACCTCCCTGGGACCTAAAAGAAATTCTGCTACGGGGCCCTCCTACCTGACTCGTGAGACACCTGACCACAATTTGCCATTGCTGCACAGTCACACCTTACACTGCAGTACTCTCACTGCAATCCTCCCTCCATTAAAACAGTCTGTATCTGTAATAAGTCTGAATGGAAACCTCTTGACTGCTGCTCCCGAAAATTCTTGTACCAGGGATAGTCCCTCATCATTATCTCATCAACGTTACAGACACTCGCTTTCATCTTTGACTCGTCTCACAACGGTAGCAACGGGCCGTTTCACTTTAACCAGTAGTCAGTAACTGGACTTTGCGTTTTTTATTATTGCTAACTTAACAGGATGTTGCAGATGTTTTGTTGTTAACTTGACTGCGGAGCTATACATGCCCAAAAATGACGCCAAGGTGTCTTGACCTTGTTACTGGGGCACAGAGCATGAATACTGGGAGGGTAGAGGGAGAAATACTGTCTTGTTAAGAGTAGTTTGCAACCTGCCTACAATCTCGAATCCCATGGGATTCCTGCAACAGGAAATAACTTTAGTCTTTTACTCATGGATTTGTATTTCTGCTGCCGAAATGTTTCTCAGTGTTGGTTAATTATTAAAAAACACAAAACACCACTTAAATTAGCTCCATGCGTTGGTTGAAATCACTGTCTCCAGCAGTTATAGCTTAAAAGTGAGCAGCTGTTTCTAAAGAGGTAGAGCCTGCCCGTTGTCCTCAAGTCTGCATGTCGAACTGTCCTTGGGCAAGATACTGAACCCCAAATTGCTTACAATGGCTGTTCCATTGGTGTGTGAATGTGTGTGAATGCTTGTATTTCCCACCTGTGTAATTTTTTGCCCCGTCTTGATTAGTTTTACCTGTCCCTTGTTTTCCTCACCCCTCTGGTATATTTAAGTCAGTGTGTTCCTCTTGTCTGTTGCCATTTTGCTATTGACATTTTATCTTACACTCTAGCCATTTTCCTAGTGTTTGTTTCCCAGGGCCCTATCTTGCACCCAGTGCAAAGCGCAGCACAAGTGCCATTGCTAGTTTCCAACCAACTCAGTTGTCATTTTCACACCCAACGCCCACGTTGTTTAAATAGCAGATGCACAATTGCGCCCATTTGTGTGCCCATGGGAGTATGTAAAATGAGGTTTGGTCAGGCAAATTGTTGGGACATTGCTATCTTGATACAGCAGACAGCAATTGCACCATTGAACAAAAAAAAAAAAAGGTCTAATGTCAATGGCGCACCTTGTGACTGTTTTATATTGTTATATATTCCGATAGTAAGATGCTCTTAAGAAAGACACTGTAAGCATTTATACATGAGGCACACAGCGTAACTTCATTCATTGTTAAAATCTCCCAACACAGCGATAGAATTGGTCAGGATTCATGTTCTGTGTTTTTCTACAGATCCACAAGGTCCCTTGTGTATTTGACAGCAGCCTCTCAAACCATGAACGTTAATTGTTAAAGAAAACACTCATACATCAGTAAAGCATTAAATAAAGAAACCACTGTAAGAGAGAGAGATGTGACCCACAACTGATTCCTCATAGTTCATAATAATGCAGCGCAGTGAGGAACCAGACGTTTCATAGAGGAGACAGCGCTATCTGTCTGTTAACAGACTCCAGTCTGCAGTGGAGTTCAGACACACTTCACTAATAAACCTCAGAGCTGCAGAGTAATGTTAGACTTCATGATCAGAGACGGTTTCTTTCATCACGTCTACACTTCTGTCCATATCCCCCCTCTGTTGTGAGTCTGCAACTGAATCAATCAATTGATAGTATATATAATAGCAATGGGCCAAGGTACACGCACTACTGGCTTTTAAAGGGAATGGTAGAAGACACTCTGGTTTATTGCATGTTATGCCCAAACACACCAACGACTAATTCACAGTCTAAGTACAACCCTTTTGAACCGCACGTCTGGCCCCCGCACCATTTATTCCGCTCATAAACTACCAAAATTGTTAGACATGCCCCAGACTCAACTGCACCATGCAGTTCACGCCGTGCACTTAGATCGTCAAAATAGGGCCCCAAGTGTTTTTGGATGATCTGTGGTGATGATCTGTGTCCCTTAAACCTTGCCTGTTTTTTGGCCTTTACATATGTTTGCCTGTTTTGGACTGCTTTTCTTGTATGACCCTTATATTACCAGCCTCACCATTCTGTTGTGTTTTTAATAAAAAAAATCTTTGAACTGTACCTGCCTTTTTTTACCTTGTGTATGAAATATAGTATGAAATAAAAATGGACATTACAGAAACATTCCCTCACTGTCTTTGTTACCTTCAAAAGTCATATTGATTCCTCAGTTTATCAGGTCAGTACTCAACAGCATGCAGCCTGAAATGTAAACACAGGAAACTGCAGTGAAGAAGGACTTCAACAACTTCATATTGTCTGTGTCTATTGTGCCCTCAGTCATCTATCAATGTAATATTTTAAATCTCACAGGACTTCTTGGCTACAGATATGCAATGTGTTTTTCCCCTCTAATGGTCTGTGTTCAGTTCATTTTCTTGTTTCATTCCTTCCACTCCTTTCTCCTCCAAACTTGCTCACGACTCTCCTTTCCTCTGTGCCAACATACACAACATCAGACAGCCTGCACACGCCTAGGGAATGAACATAAAGTCCAGTATGTTTATTCAGCGGAGGTAGACTGCGTGACAACTGGCTCTTCCACACAAGATATGTTTGACATTCTATAAAAGCACACGAGGAAGCAGACGCACAGGCATCGCTGTGGACTTCTGCACACACACACACAAATGACCAAACAACCACTTGACCATTTACATCGTCTAAACCTTGGGATGGCTTCACTGCAATATTTACTGAACCTAATCCTAAGTTAAGCACCAGCTTCATGACTTATGTGAGTAGCCATCGATCTCTGTGCCACTCAGCGTTAATCACAAGTGAACAGTTTCCATTCAAGAGACACTTAGCAGCTGCACAGCCACTGAAAAGCTTGGAGGGGCTTCTCCCAAAATGAGCAGCTAATTAGTTAACTTCAAAGTCTTGTGAATACGTCAAAGCAGCTGCATTCTCCACTTAATCAGTACTTAATGAGCATTATGTTATTGGCAGTAATTGATGGAATGAAAACACAGTCCAGCACTGACCAATTTAGAATATCAGAGCGGAAATCAATCACTCTCCATGCACAGCAATTAAGTAAACCTGTCAAACAAGGATTGTAAACATAATTTGTATGTGGATAGCTAAAATACAGAACATACCTCTTGACTCACAAACACCAACAATCTACCAGTTATGCAAGGGAAATTGTTATTTAAGCTAACTTATCTGGCTTTCAAAACCAAAACAAGCACTACTTATCCTACAAGGCAGAGCATAGCTGCCAACTCTCACGCATTAGACACTTTTCACACGCTCTCACGCCACACATAAATTAAAAACAATAAAAACAAATGTTTAACTGCTGAAGTTAACATTTGTGTGGATTTGTGGTGAAATTTATGCCATATCAGAAGTGTTTTCAATTAGTTAGGTCTGAAGAGGATACCATATCAGCAGAGCAGTAACACTGGCTAATGCACAACAGAGAATAGGGTAGGTAAAACATTATAATTTCTCATTATATGATGGCATTATTCTCGTAATATTATGGGGCCTATTTTAATGATCTAGGCACATGGTGTGAAGCGCATGGCACAGACGTATTTAGGGTGTGTCCAAATCTATTTTTGCTAGTTTAATGGTGTTTAAAACTGGTCTGTTTTACATCATTGATGCTTAAACACAGTCAAGATGGACACTGTTTCCCAAATGTTAGATTTATTATGTGAAGATGAAAACCATATTATCATCTTGTTGCTGCTGTTAACAATCAACACAAATTCAAAAAATGTACTGCAGAATTTTCTTAGTGTATACATGGGTAGGTCTTATTTCTAATAATTCACTCTTGTAAACCACTTTGTGACCTTGATCTGTGAAAGGCGCTATTTTAAATAAACTCTGCTTACTTACTTACTTACTTACTACAGCTCCATGTTTATCATGAAGTAATCCAAAGCTTGACAGATCTAACATGCCTGCGGAATAATATTGGACACCCGCGTGGTCAGCGGATTTGGGTTTAAAGTCGGAAAATCCTGACACACCACATCTGCAGTTGCTTAAGCTTGGGCCAAACCTGAAGACTAGCTGAAACCTACAAAGACTGGATAAAACCACTTATAAAGATTTTTCCCACCGACATGCATAGATTTTTTTGTATTTGTCAGCCAGGAAAGAGCATCCACCTTATGACAGGGTAAATACACTAGACAACATACGGCCAATAATGACTAGAGTTCTAGCGGTAGACAACCCACCAATTATTGTGCGTTCTTGTACCAAAACAAACGGACAACAAACAGCAGCTAGAACTTTTTATATGCAGTACAGTTTGCGCTGGAAAAAGAAGTGTAGAGTTTGGGTGAGTAGCTGGATGGAGGCGCATGTACAACTGTATAGCCTACAGGGGAATTGGGGTTGAGTGAACTATTTATTTACCGGTATGTCTCCCTTGGGCAACACAATTTTGGTCATGTTATGAGAATGACTGAAAGCAAACTGGATCGGAAGCCTTAAATTTAGTATCTTTACATATCAAGCACTGATTTTATTTGCCAACTGTCAACACCAGCTGACCCAAACAGAAACAGACCAAGACCATCTTGGTCCGATCAGTTGTCACGGCCAACTCATATTTATAATCCGCTCAACAGTCTTAACGTGTGACCCTCCTTTAGGAGAGCGCAGCAGCACTCTCTATTGATAACAATGTTGCACTTGCACATTTGTCATGAAAAGCAGGGTTCCATCCATTTTCTTACCTTTCTCCAAAGTGGTGACTCCCATGGACGGCTGACCCAGGCTGGCCCTTATCTCCCATTTGCCCTCGTCAGGGTGGTACATCTCCACGGAGGCCAGCGGGGTCTGCTGCTGATTCATGCCCCCAAGCACCATCACCTGGCCCCCCAACGCCACAGCTGAGGCCCCCGCCCGCGCAGTGGGCAGCGGGGGAAGTTGGCTCCACGTCTGGCTCTCTACATCCAGGACCTCGACGCTGTCCAGGGGCATGCCAGTCTCACTGCAGCCCCCCAGCACATAGAGCAGGCCATCGTGGTAGACAGGAGTGCAGTAGACACGGCGCTGTGACATGGGGGGGAACTGCTCCCAGTACAGGGACTTCACAGGACTCACCGCCATCTCCTGCACAGGCATGTCTCCAGGACCAACAGGAGGGGACACACCATCACACACCGCGCCGGGGAGGAGGGAAGAGAAGGAGCAGGAGAGGGTAGAGGGAGAAGGTGGTGTGAAGGTGGGGGGGGGGGGGCAAAGGTGGAACAAAAATGAGCGAGAGCAGAGGCAGAGACACAAGCTTGTTTCTGTCTGTTTGAGTGACCACCTGAACTCCTGTGTCCACAGAGGGACACAGACAAGAAAATGTGAAAGGTGGATCGATAGAGGGGGGGCTGAAGAGGATAGGGATGTTAGTGAAAGAAAGAGGGAATGAGGAGTGTGTCTAACTCACTCCTCAGCCAGATGTCACGACTCCCTCTCTATCCAAATGTTTTATTCATCCGACTGTTGGTGTTTTCAAGCAGCGAAGCCATCTGCCCTTCAATCCCCTCTATTCCTTTCTCTTCGGCCCTCTTTCACTGCATCTTGCCAGGAGGTTATTTTGGCTAAAGTTTGGGCTTGAGTGTATTCCTCGGGGGGGTCGGGGGAGGAGGGAGGAGGGAGTTGGTTGAAGAACGTGTCCCAGGGCTTAAAACTTAATCCCACAAAAACCTCAAAGTCAAAAATGAGGGGATTGAAACAGAGAACAAAGAATGAATGAGGAGATGGCACAGGATCAAAGACCTGGGAAGAGGGAGTTTAGGAACATTGACCTTCACCAGTGCCCTGATAATCCAAGGGAGAGCCTTTATGCCAGAGGATTTTATACCATCAAACAAAAGGCAAGTATTCAGGTCTACTAGTCTCCTCAACTGCAGCTCCACAGTTCTGTTTGCACCCTGTTGATAGAGCCTACAGTGAAAAAGAAAATCCTTTAATAAATGAACAAAAGTCTTTAAATGAAAACTCTACAGGAGTGCACTGACTGCAATACTTCCTTGCATTTTAAGAAAGATTTTCTTCCCTTAATTAAACAAGAACTCCAAATCCTGGAGCGTTGCTCTATGACTTGCTGTCAGGCACAGGGCCGTCTGAACTGGGTGCTTTGCATCTTCCTGGTTGCTTTGGAGCAGATGAGGATACCTGGCGGGGCCCAACCTGTAAGAGAAGACAACACAGGATTAGAAGAGGAATTGGAGTGTAAATAAGGAGCTAAAATGACAATCTTACATTAAAGGAAAAAAAGAACAACCTGTTAATATGCTAAACAGTTATATATCATATTCTGTCCAGCGGTTATAAACTGACTCATTAGTAAGCATATATTCAGACATGAAAACAGCGCTGAGTTAAAACAATGCAAGGGCCTGCGTTGGTGGCAGTACAATCCTTCAGGTACTGGTGAGATAATGAAATAAATCCAGGAAGAACAGTTTGCATTACAAAGTAATCCAACAGGAATATATGCTTGTAGTGCCTTGTCAGTCAACGTCACGTTGGGGCAACAACTGAACCAGGTTCACCCACTGCTATCCCCCCTCCAAACTGGTCTCTGAGAGGCCATGGGTTTGTCTCACATAGATAAAATGGTCTAAATGTGGCACAAGACTGGCTTCCCTCCATTCGCAAATATTTCCTTTTGCTTCTATTACTCAGATTAACTACAGAAAACATGACGTAAAATGGTTACACACAACAGCACATAATAGTTCAAAAATCCAGAGGCCAGGATGGATGCAAATGAATCATTAAGACTACATTAATAATTCAAATTACTTCAAAACATCACAAACTATGGCAAAATTTTAACCATTGTGTCCAGCAATAGTTTCGCCATTAATCTGTATTTTTGAGCCACATAAGCTTTAAACAAATTGAAATGCTGAGCATCATCACTACGTCCAATTAAACATCTTATCAAATGGAATTATTTGAGCTGAACACTGATGGAGTGTCATGTTCGTCGAAAAAAATCAGGAGCTGCGAAGTTTGAATCACAAATCACACTGCTGATTTTACATTTCATTCAGTTAAGTTCCAAGATCTGTCACTGACTATGACGATCATTCACTTTCCAAAGCAATCACATCCCCATCAAAATTCACTTTAGTACGAACATCAGCAAGTGAACGCATTACTATTCATACCACCGTGACGTTCAGCGCTGGTTCTGACAGTCTTCAGTTCAGTAGTACACTTAGTCTTTGCTTGTACGTCCAGTTCAGTACAAACATAGGCCTATGCAAGCCAATGAATGAGGTTATTAGCTCAGCAGCCAACTATTTGCAAGAGAGTTATCACATCTTAATTGTTTATGTGGCTCAAGCAGCTAAAGTGCAGAGTTGTCATCAGTATTTTTAACAAAGATTATCAGTCTCATTTCATCATTGTGACCTACCAGTAATTTGTCATTATTACCAGAACTGTTCAACTACGTAACTATTATCAATAAATATAATAGTACTTTTGAATGTCATGATTATCAGTGAATACTGTTAATTATACCACTCATGTAACATCTTAATAAATGTTAAGTAATATGTCCAAATCATCTATGGAATATTTGCCCACTTCCTACCAGTGACTGATCTGCGCCCCCCCACCCCAGCAACAGGGCTCCCATACAGTGTGCCGGCTGGAGGTTAACTGTTTCTGAGTGATTTATGGGGGTCTTTCCCTATAATTGGGAATAATCAAAATCAGATCTACAGTAAATCAATAAAGCTTGAAATGTGCTAATCTAAGACCTCCTGGCTTCCTATTGCTTCTACAATTTCCCCCACATGGATGACTCATGGCTGAGTTAGAAGCAGACAGACTCAGAACAAGTACTCCTGTCAGGTCTCAACATAATAGCATCGCATTCATATTACAATACATGTTATAATCAGAATCACATTCATACTGTTGACAGCAATGAGAAGTCTTGCTGTGCGTGCATGTGTGTGTGCAAGTGCTTGTGTGTGTGTGGCTGAGACACAGCAGGAGGCATGCACACTGCTACCTGAGGATTGACAGGGAAAGCAATGACATTTAGCAGGTGGGAGGAGAGAAAGAAAGCGACACAATGTACACTATTTCTGTGTGCCTCAGTCTCTCCTCTGCAGTCCTCATCCAGCTCATACTCACTAATAACTAATAATACTATATATTCATAATTAATGATTCCTTCTTCCTAATCCCACTAAGTGGCTTGAGCCCTATGGACACACTGACCTTTAAAAAGTGAAAGGAAAAAAGAAATTAAGACTACAGCAGAAATATTAGTGTGTGTCCATATCTGCATGTGTATGTGTTTGCATATTAATAGACATTTGAAAGTCTTTGCATTTGTGTGCATGAGAGAGTGTCTTTGAGGTAAAAGGAAGGATTTAAGTAAAATCCTAAGAGCCTCGGGATCATCAAACTACCTAAAATAATGTGAAATTGCAGGGTCTTTTCACAATAGTGACAGCATGAGAAGTTTGTTGAACCCTTTTGAAGTTGCACCCTTTTGCTGTTACCATCTTCTTACACTGCTTAAATATTCCGGCAGTATGTTGCAGATCTGACCTTCAATCTCCAAACTGCTTCCACATTACCAATTAAGCCCTGCAGAGCAGTGCCGGCAGCAATGTTGCTTTTGCATTAAGCCATGCTTGCTGTTGCTGTACATAGCCTTGACATTAATACTTCAACATGCCGTTTTTTATTCACATTTAAATTACACTATTACAGTAAAACACATTATTATAGTATTATGAAGGATATCATATGACACACCTCTAGCTGATGTTTATCTGTTACTACTGCACAACTGGATTGCACTACTTTACCATTCAGTAAAATGTGGACATTTCCCCTGGTTGTTACATATTCATGTAAAATTAATCATTGGTAAACTCCAGTTATTAAATCCTGATGTCAAATTACATGAAGGAATAGTTTTACGTTTAAGGAATGGAAGAGGAAGGAAAGGAAGATATGAAAATAACTAACATAACCATGAATATGAAGCAAGAGCCAACCGATGATTAACATAGCTTACAATAAAGACTGGAAGCAGGTGAAGACAGCTAGCTCTCTTTCTCTCCAAAGTACAAAAATACACCTTTAAAGCTCAACTAATGTGTTGCATCTTCTGGGTTAATCCGTACACAAACTGAAATGTAAAAACAGGTGTTACATGCTGGAACTATTTTACTGACTTCCTAACACAATCTCACAGTGACGACTAGACTCCAGGAAGTCAATGCGCCTGCAGACAAATAGTTCCAGCGCGTAACTCCCTTTAAGACCACAACTTGACATTTTTACATTTATGAATTCTGAGTTGGCCAGGCTAGCTGTTTCCCTCCAAGCTAAGCTAATTGCCTCCTGGCTAGCTACACAGTCAGTGTACTGACATGAGAGTGGCACTGATCTAAATCTCAGCAAGAAAGCAAATAAGCACAATTCCTGAAATGTCAAACTATTCCTTTAATTTGTCTCTCACGTTCAGATGTGCAAAGGGATTGTTTTACCAATCCTTTAAAGCTGAAAGCCCCACTGGAGAAGTAAATGATGTGTCTGAATCTCAAGGAAATGCATTAATAATGTTACAAGCATTTGTTGTCCTTGATGGTTGTTTCTGTGTGAGTGTGTTTGCAATGTTGAGAGCTCTGTTGTGCATCGGCACATGCATGAAGGTACCTACATAAAAAAAATATCTGACAGAGCATTTAGTTGTTCTATTATTTATCAGTGTCCAATGATTTCGGAAGGCAAACCCACGCCTACTCTTTTGTTTCAACAATTCTGCCATAAAATGGGGAAACATACATGCCAGCGCGGTAGCAACCATTGATGGGGCAGTGGATAAGACACATGCCTTTGGTGTGAGACGCGGGTTCACATACCCAACTGTGACATATCCACCAATGTGTCCCTGAGCAAGACACTTAACCCCGAGTTGCTCCAGACACGTGCAACCTCTGACATTCTTAGCAATTTTAAGTTGCTTTGGATAAAAGTATAACTAGAGAGATTAGCAGACTTCAACACACTCACCGGCCACTTTATTAGGTACACCTGTTCAATTGCTTGCGAACACAAATAGCTATTCAGCCAATCACATGGCAGCAACTGAATGCATTTAAGCATGTAGATGTGGTCAAGACAACTTGCTGAAGTTCAAACAGAGCATCAGAATGGGGAAGAAAGGGGATTTAAGTGACTTTGAACGTGGCATGGTTGTTGGTGCCAGACGGGCTGGTCTGAGTATTTCAGAAACTGCTGATCTACTGGGATTTTCACGCACAACCATCTCTAGGGTTTACAGAGACGAGTCCGAAAAAGAGAAAATATCCAGTGAGCGGCAGTTGTGTGGACGAAAATGCCTTGTTGATGTCAGAAGTCAGAGGAGAATGGGTAGACTGGTTCGAGATGACAGAAAGGCAACAGTAATTCAAATAACAATTTACACAGGCTCACCAAAATTGGACAATAGAAGATTGGAAAAACGTTGGTCTGATGAGTCTCGATTTCAGCTGCAACATTCAGATGGTAGGCTCAGAATTGGCGTAAACAACATGAAAGCATGGATCCATCCTGCTTTGTATCAACGCTTCAAGTTGCTGCTGGTGATGTAATGATATTTTCTTGGCACAGTTTGGGCCTCCTAGTACAAAGTGAGCATTGTACTAAGCCTACCTGAGTATTGTAGCTGACCAGGTCCAACCACAGTGTACCCATTTTCTGATGATTACTTGCAACGTGTCACAAAGTCTCTGAGGTATGTTTCCAACACCTTGTTGAAACTATGCCACAAAGAATTAAGGCAGTTCTGAAGGCAAATTGGGGTCCAACCCGGTACTAGCAAGGTGTACCCAATAAAGAGACCAGTGAGTGTATGTTTTATTTAGTTAATTTCATTAATGGAAAATATAATCTCTCCTCTCACACCCAGCTTTTATATATATAGCTCCTCCCTAAATGCTGTGCTTGACGATGCCAAAAGGAGGTGACTTGGTAGGTAGCCTAGATATTATGAATTTATAAATTGCCTGGGTTGACACTACTGTAGGTTTTTCATTTAAGAATCTAATTGAGCTGCTGCATTACATAATGCCAGTAGGCTAAAGAGAACAGACAGCTCTCCCAGTGCTCAGCTGCTAGAGATTATTGTACTCTCTGGTTAT